CAAGGGTGTGAGTTCAATCTCCAGTTCCACCAAAAAAAAAAAAAAACAGATCCATAATAATCCTCATAATCATAATAATCTCTTCTCTCTATATACACATACACATGTAATCCTTCATGGTTAATAAAATATAAGCTAATTTTAAAGTATTACATATATATTTACTGTTCTGACTATAAATTCCTTTGATTGATTTAAATATTAGAAGTAAAGTTACTATCTGAAATTCTGATAATGTTTTACTGTTAGTAAATTGTTTTTATTAGCATGTATTAGGTGTAGATCTTAACTCAATGTAATATTTTAAAACATGCCTACAGTATTCATTGATCAACTCCAACCTTTGTTTGTCTCTCTTCTACTCCCTAACTCCCTATAGTTCCAAAGGTGTAGTAATCAATATCTCATATTCAGGTAAAAATTGTCTAGCTTCCACATATGGAAGGACATATGGAATATTTGTTTGTTTATGGTTTATTATTACTTAATCTAATATATTAATTTCAGTTCCAGTCCTGTTTGGTTGCAAATCACAGGACTTTGTTCATCTTTATGGCTGAAAAATATACCCCATTGTGTTTACAACCACATTTTTTTGCTCACCTGTTGTTGGGCCCCTAGTGTGATTCTGTATATTAGCTAATGTGAATAGTGCCACAATAAGAAATATTTCTGGAAGTATCTCTTTGGTACCAGGGATCAAACTCAGGACCTTGCACCTACCGGGTAGGTACTTATGCCACTGAGCTATCTCACAAGCCTGGAAGTGTCTCTTTAGTATACTGATTTCTTTTTATTTGGCTATATCCCTAGATGTAGAATAGGTGGATCATACTGTGGATCCACTTTGGGTTTTCTGAGAAATATTCATATTGTTCTCCATAATGGTTGTCTGGTTTATACTTTTGCTGAAGTGTATGAGTTATTTTTCTCTACATTCTTGCCAACATTTCCTATTTTTTTTTTGGATAATAGTCAACCTATCTAATATGAGACAATAAGCTATTGGAAGTTTGCTTTTCATTCCCCAGATGGATAACAACATTGAATATTTTGTCATATGTTTATTGGCCCATTGCATTTCATTTTTTTGAAAAATATCTATTCAAATCATTTTTTATTTTAATTGGATTACTGTTTTAGTTCTTTTATATTCTAGATATTGATCCTTTGTTAAATTATTAGTTGAATAATGTCATTCTGTAGGTTGTTCCTTCATTTCACTTATTGTCTCCTTCACTATGCAGAAGGTTTTTAGTTTGATGCAACCCTATTAACCTAGTTTTGATCTTGTGTGCTTTTGAGATCATACCCCCAAAATCAATGTTAACATGATTATCTTGAAATTTTTCCTGTATTTTTAGTTTTAGTAGTTTTATGTGTTACATTTAACTCTTTTATCCATTCATGAAGTGATTTTTGTATTGGATGATAGATGGGGTCAAGTTTCTGTCATCTGCATTTGGATATTCAATTTTCTCAAGAAAGTTTTCAGAAATAGCTACTCTTTTTTCAACATATATTTTTCACCGCTTTCATGAGAATCGCATGGCTTAAATAGGTTAATATAGCTCTATAGTATACCTTAAAGTCAAAGTTATGATGAATTTAGCATTGTTCTTTTTGCTTAAGAATATTTGACTATTTCAAATTTGTTGTTTCCATGAAAATTTTAAGAGTTGTTTCTAATTACATTTAGTAAAGCAATGGTATGTTGATAAGCATTACATTGAGTATGTAAATTTCTCTATGTACTATGTATATTTTAACCTCCTTGCCATCCAGAAATATGGGAAATTTTTCTACATTTTGTGTCTTCTTCAATTTTTCTTTCATGAATGTTATATAATATTCATTGTATCGGTCTTTTACTTTGTTGGTTAAATGTATTAGCAGTTATGTTTTTTTATAGCTATTATAACAAGTACTGCTTATATGGTTTCCTTCTTAGCATGTTTGTCAGTGGTAATTAAGAATGTTTGTTTTTTGTATGTTGATTTTGTATCTTACGATTAAGATAAAATTATCAGCTCTAATAGCCTCACATTTTAAAAGTTCTTCATTTTTAAATTATAATATAGGACATCTTTAAGAATGTATTTTATGTTTAAATATTACGTTCTAAGTATATTTTCAGCTAGGATTGTGCCAATCTGTTTATACCATTCGGTGTCCTGTTAGCACATATTACTCTCCCCTAAAAGAGATTTTTAAGAAAATATGATGCCTTTCTCATCCAGTATATTATTTTAGAAGTGCTACATAGATGTAAAATTTAACATCTAACTGATGGAAAAACAAAAAGCAAAACTAGGGTCTGAAAATTTGTCATAAACACATAAGGATGTCTCAAGGAAGTTATAGTAAACAATAACATTTTTACTCAGAAAAGGACTAATGCCTGAGTAGCATTATTTATCATGGTTTTGAGGCTTGAAAACACTCAAGTCAATGTTCCTCCCTGTGAAGTTCTCTAATATATCTATAGTCAATTGTTGGCTGGTCCTATAGACTTAAAGCTCAATAGGACTCTATGTCCAAAATGTCTCACTCACATTACTAACAGGTGGTAGTTGACGAGGCACCGATTCACTGAAGCATTAATCTATGGTCTCTCCATGCCATGTCTGCTTTTCAGAACATGTTGTATTGGGTGGATTCTAGGCAGGAGCGTCCTAAGTGTGAATGTTCCAAAGAAACTCATACAGAAGCTGTCAAGCCAAATAAAGACTTTTGCTGTACCTGCAAGAGCCTTATTTGCCCTGTGTTCTATAGCTCAAGTCATTCAAAAGAGCAGGTCAAATTTAAAGGAGAGAAAAAGAATAGTAAATATCAGCTCTTAATGAGCAGTGGTAAGGGAGAACGTGGTATGGTGCTGTCCTTACAGCCATCTTCGGGAAACTCATCTAATTCAGACTGTCATTTTACTATCTTTCTATGCTTCTAGTTCTTTTTGCTCTTGCTGCTCATGGGCTATCTTTTGTTTCTTAATTCACACCACAGATTAGAACCTGCATGAGCACAGTTGTACAGTGTATATGATGTATTTTAGGCATTGCCAAAGTTTGGCTTGTCCATTCTAAATTTCTGACAGTGGATCTTCTACATTTGGGCATGTGTATTCTCTGTGCTCTAATTATATATGACTGGATGGTGGCCAGAATTCTATGGCACAGACATGGTTGTTATTTGATTACCTTTTTGAAGGAGTTGAGAATTTTCCAGCTGAAGCTCTTGACCAAAAAACCCTGACAGGGCCGGCCAAATAGCTCAGTGAATTAAAGTGCCTGCAAGCAGGCTCAGGGCCCAGGGATTCAATCCCTGTGGCCTGCCATCCCAACCCCACCCCCGGGGCACTCTGAGAGGGCAACTGAGACTGGACGTCGTGGCACGTGCCTGTAATTCCAGCTCTTGGGAGGCTGTAGACAGATGGGTCACTATGAGTCTAATTGAGTAGTGAGACCCTGAACACCCTAAAATTAAAAATAAAAATAAAAAAAAAACCTGACAGCATCTGCTATCCTTACTAAGCTTGTTTTTTGTTTGTTGGTTTGTTTTGTTTTGATTTGATTTTTGTTTTTTCGTTTTTGTTTTTTGTAGAACTGGAGATTGAACTCAGGCCCTTGAGCTTGCCAGGGCAGAGTTTATTCTACTGAGCCATCTCCCAGGCCCACTATGCTTGTTAGTTATTCTGAGTTGTAGTTTAAGATCCCTTCTGCTGTGACATCTATTAACTCCCCTGCATAAGAGTTACTTCAGCCACATACTCCAATTAAATTTTATAGTTTCTGTACTATTTCTTGCTGTGTAAATATCATTGTGCACTTAGATGGTTTTCTAACCATCAGATTATAAGAATCCATAAGAATAGTATATGACATTATTTTTATGCAATGTAGTTATTCAATGACTATATTGCATATAGTTAAAATATATGTATTTGCATTAGTCTTTCCTCTCTCTTATGAAAAGCGAGATTTGTATTACTTAATTCATAATCAATTTTCCTTTATAACTGTAAGAATAGGTATTCTATGGAATAATATTAATCTGTTGTAAAGACTGTTTACATCCTCAAGGATGCTTCCTCCACTGAGCCTAATTTCTTGGAATAATTCTTGTTTTTCAGTCCAGGACCATAGTTCTTTTTGGTAGCTGTTTTAACAAATCAAGTTAAAATAAATAAATAAGTAAAAATTAAAAACCTCACATTGTCTTCCAATAATTTGTAGTAGAATTGATTCAATTTGCTACAAATTAATGTTTACTAATATCATACAAAATGTTTTGTAAAATAACTGTACATAGAACGGTGGTAGAAGTTTATAGTTTCTTATCTAATTTATTTGACAACAACTTAATTTTACATTAAAATAATTTCACTACTCATTGATTGTTGCTGAAACTGATGGCAAGAAATGAATTATTTTATTGTTATGTTAATTGTACAGGATTTGATATAGATTGTAACTCAAAATTCATAAGTTAAAGAAGAATATACTATAGACTAAAATTTGATCAAAAAGCCCTTATTGGGTATAAAAAATTTAAAAATATCTGTATTACTGAAATTTCAAAAATTAGTATCAGACCAAAGACAATGCCAGCTGAGATGTTTTACTTTCCTTTGTTAGATCTCTAGTGTTCCTTAAAGTAACTGAAATATGGCGCAAAATGACTGAATAAGGAGTGCTAATGAGGAACATTATCAGCTTGCAAGTTTTCTTTGTATCTTGTCCCTCACAGAGCTCTCTGAAAGCTTGATTATCATCATTGAATCTGAATGATCATTTCCTCTTCATACTAATCCCATTGGGAGAGAAGTGAATCATTGCATTTTTCATAATTTATGGTAGGAAAAAATGCAATTGTTACTTTTGAAAAGGCTATATTGTAATAATGATTTAGGAGAAATGTTACATTCCATCTTCTTCAAAAATGAGTTGTCCTTTGCAATAGCTTGCAGAGAATCCTAACTAATGATGCTGTCCTCCCAACAGAAAATCCAATCAGATTTGACGAGTCATGAGATCAGCTTAGAAGAAATGAAGAAACATAACCAGGGGAGGGATGCTGCTCAAAGAGTTCTATCTCAAATTGATGTTGCACAGGTATGTTTTATTGACATAAATTCTGTAGCTTTATTAATGAACAAACTCTGTAGCTTGATTTATTCACACATAAAAACAAATTCATATTTGGCCATGTGATTAGCAAAATTGAGATTGATAGCACTATTCACAATGATACCTATCACTAGGAGCATTTTTACTATGTATATTTTAAGGATAAAATAGGTTAATTGATAACAGTTTATTGACTATCAGATGAAGAAATATTAATGAATTCCTCTCCCAAAAGTGTATATGTTTTGTGTGGGAAGATCAGGCAAAGCAGTTGCCTTTTTAAAACTTTATTCCTGTATAATACCAGAAATAAAGGAAAATCTATGAACCAAATAGTATTCGGTATGTTCTAAAAGACAAAATTAACCTGACATATCCTTACATTACCTTTACAGAAAAAACTGCAAGATGTTTCCTTGAAATTTCGACTATTCCAGAAACCAGCTAACTTTGAGCAGCGTCTAGAGGAAAGTAAGAGGATTTTGGACGAAGTAAAGGTGCAGTTGCCTGCGCTGGAAACCAAGAGTATTGAACAGGAAGTAGTACAGTCACAGTTAAATCATTGTGTGGTATGTATTTCTTATGACAAATGTTCAGCTTCCCTTTGAATTTCCTTATTAGGAAAGAGTTGATGATATTCTTTTATAATAGAAAGTTATTTTAAATAACTCTGTAGATTTAAGATTAATCACAAAATGGAGCCCAATGTTGAGAGACAAGAACTTTTACAAAAATAATAGCCATTTAAGACTTATTCTAAAAATACTCTTTTTGGCTGGATGTATTATGGCACACAACTGTAATCTCAGCCATCAGTAAACCAAGGCAGAAAGGTTGTTGCAAGTTTCAGGCCAGCCTGGGCTACATAGTGAACTAAGACCAGCCTGAACTATAGAGTGGAGCCTGTCTAAAAATGCCCTTTTTGAATTTTAATTCTGCTAAAGACTGTGTAAGATACAAAATCGATATCCTTGGTTTATTCTAATGGTAGTTTGAACCCAATTTATATGAAAATCTTGAATAAAGTGTATTAATCTATAAAGAACAACCATAGTGGTAGCTGTCATATAGCCATAAGCATTTCAGAAATAGTGATTTTGGCATGTATGTTAAGTGATGTATAAAAGTAATCTCTAATTCTCAAGGTTACCTGAGAAAGTATAAAGACAAACAACTTTGAGGGACAAAACAAGATTAAATAGTAGGTGCTCTTAATTGTAAATACTAACATCTTTTCATTCTTCATTGCTGAAATACTATCAGACAACACAGACAGAATTAAAGGGCAAGGAGAAAGACATTTCACCTGGAGTACAATCCCATTAGTTTTTGGGATTTGCCAGCAGTGTCCTATACTACAGTTATTAAAAATTCACCAAGTTAGATGATCCTCTGACAGTTTAAAAGCTGAAGTGTGAGAGTATCTGCTGGAATAATATAAGTGCTATTGAAACTCAGTGTGTATTAGGGACAATCATGTTATACATTCACATGAAATAAAAAGCCTGAATGCTAATAAAACCAAAGAGAAGAAGTTTATTGATTTAGTACTTGGTGTTTTAATTGGTGCTTCTGTACCTATCACACAGTATAAATGAAAAAAATCCTTTCAGAGTTCACTCACATAACTATGCATAGCAGGAAAAGCTTTCTTTTGACCAATACTTTAAAATAAATGCATATAGTCATTTGTGAAAAATATGAATTAATCTTATACAATAGCATGTATTGATCATTTAGACTATATTTTAGTGGTAGAATTTCTTTAAGTATCCTTATTCCTTAAAGAACCACCTTTAATATAATAATATATTGATATATGTGAACATAAGGATATTTTAGTCAAGAAAGTGTAGGAAAGCATGGGAAAAATTTTAAAATGTTCAAACTAATTGAAAATAAAATCACCCAATTACACTATTATAGAGATTAGTATTTGCTAAGTGAGAGCTGTTGATTCTCTTCTAGGAGCAAATATTTAAAATTACCTCATAAAATTTAATAAGAGTAAATATAAGCTGTAAACAACTCTATGTGTATTAATACTAAGGAAACAGCTAGAGGCGCTGGTACATAGTTTATGCTTCTAGTTTAAATATTAGGACCAATCCAAATACTCTTTTCTTGATTGTCTTTGCTTTACAACTTTTGTACATTTTTGTACTTAATATGCTTTATGATATATATGGTAATAATAACCTTGCCTTCAAGAGAATTTTGTCCATTTAAACAAGTATAACTGGGCCAGCCAGATAGCTCAGGAGATTAAAGCACCTGCTTAGGCAGACACAAGGGGCAGCAGCTCAAAGCCAGGCCTGCCCTGCCGGCCCTGATTGAGATGGCATGGTGGCACATGAGTGTAATCCCAGAACTTGGGAAGCTAAAAAAGAAGGATCACTACAAGTCTGATCTGTGTAGTGAGACCTAGTAAACCCTGTACTAAATATATATATATATATATATATATAGATAGAGATAGAGATAGAGATAGAGATAGAGATAGAGACAGAGATATAGATATAGATATCTTACTAACTTGAGCATAACTAAAAGGATTATTTCTCCTTTGTGGTTATAAATATATTTTGGTCTATTGACTAGGACAACTGTAATGGCTAATAGTACCATCAGTGAACTTTCATAATCAAGGTAAATCAGTAAGAATTTTTTTTTTACATTTAAAGAGTAATCATTTTTAATCTGATTCCAGAATTCACATAATTGATTGCCAAAAAACAATGAAAGGTTACAGTGTTTCTAAATACTCATATATGAGTTACATTTTCTATGATATAAATAAAATATATGAAGGGCTGACCGAATAGCTCAGCGAATTAAAGCACCTGCAAGCAGGCGCAGGGGCTGGGGGTTCAATCTCCAGGCCTGCCATACCGGCCCTGCCCCTGGAGCACGCTGAGTTGGCAATTGAGACTGTGCATGGTGATGTACCTGCAACCCCAGCACTTGGGAGGCTGTGAACAGGAGAATCATTACGAGTCCGATCTAGCAGTAAGACCCTGAACACCCTGTATACCCTTCCCTAAAATACAGAAAAAAGATACTAAAATCATTTGAAAAGCTCCGAGAAGTCACAACATTAATAAAGAAATAACATTATTCGTCAAAAAGAGGATTAAGAGGGCAGTAGGTTATACCTATAACCTTTGTTAATAGGCAAATTGCTCAGACTTTCCAAAATTGTTTTGCTATGGACTTTTATTTTAAATTGAAATGAGAAAACCAATCCAGATTTTGTCCTAATTTTAAAAGACAATTACCTATTTCTCAATAGTAATAAGTTGTTAGTTTTCAGTTTTCTTACTGAATAAGTAAAAGTAGCAATATACAATATAAACAATTATATGTAGACATATACACATCTACATAGTTAGATTAATACATTTACATATGCATGTATAAAATATACATCTTGGCAGTAGAATAGCTACAAAACAAAATTATGACTTCCAGTGTCATTGGAGGTATAATAGGTAATATAGTTGCATTCCCAAGTTATGACATTTGCAACAAAAGTCTTTGATATAGCAACCCACTCTGAATCAGCACATATGTCCCTTGTGATTCCAATAAACATGTAATTTAATTAATATTCACATGTTTTGATAAGCATATTAAAATACTTTTGTCTAAACCAAAATATATATGGGGGTCGGGCAGATAGCTCAGTAGAATAAGCACTTGCCTGGTGAGTGCAAGGTCCAGAGTTCAATCCCTAGTACCACAATAAATACATAAATTAATAAATAAATATTTAAACTTACTCATTTCCTAATATCGGATAGAACGTATATTAAAGGTGTGATATGACAATTTAGATATTTCATCCAACTAAAGTATAAATGCTGTGAGACAACAGTAAACATGCCTAACCTCCCTATCACTGCATTTCCAATGGCCTAGTAAAATCTGGTATGTGTGGGCCCAGTGAGGTCGCTCAGCAGACAAAAGTACCTTCTTAGGCAAGCTTACGCAAGTGCAGTGACCACAGTTGGATCCCAGCACCTATGCTGGGCTGGTCCTGCCTTCAGGAATCACCTTAATTGCTCTTCCATGGTACCAGATTTATTGGAACAGTATTTTGAAGCTATTATAAATATCTAGCATTTGCATCTTCTTTTAATGTAATATTTCTCTTGTACATAGCCCCACAGACCTGTGTAATTTGCATGATGTGTATTTTGTTCTTTAGTCTAATTAATTTAACACTACAGCTTGTTATAATATACTGTGTTTTGTTTTGTATTTTAACTTAGAATTTGTATAAAAGTCTGAGTGAAGTGAAGTCTGAAGTGGAAATGGTGATAAAAACAGGACGTCAAATTGTACAGAAAAAGCAGACCGAAAACCCCAAAGAGCTTGATGAGAGAGTCACAGCTCTGAAGTTACATTATAATGAGCTGGGTGCAAAGGTGAGCACATATGACACTGAAAATACTATGTTGCACTTTCCTTGGGATTATGGACAATTGTTTGTGTACAGGAGGTATGATTAGAGCCTCAGAAATTACAATTCTCATGCTCTTTCTCCCTTTCCCTCTCTTTATTTACAGATATCCATATGCAATGTGTATGAGAAAGTATTAATTAGTCATGAGTGTCTGCTCATAATTTCATAGTTTGAAAACTAAGACAAGTTCAGGGTTCTTTCTGTTGGCCTATCATTGAGTTTTAAATGGCTAATTCGTTCTAAACTTTCCCTATTTGTATTATATAAACCTACTTATAATGACATGAAAACTGTTCAATATTACTATCAAATCTGTTAATAGATCTACAGAGTTGACACCATCCATGTAGGCCACATTTGGAGCAATGCGTTTCGCCCATACCAAAGAAGGCCATGCATAGTGCACCACACTTGGCTAATAAGATAGTATAGAATTGAACTGTCTCATTGCTATTTGTTTCTCAATAAAATTATGGAAAAAATAAAAATAAAAATGAAGAAGTAAGAAAAAAAGAAATACATTCTGAAGTGTTTCAACTTTTGGAAAATAAAATATTTGACCATTCTGCTGAGGCATGTGGAAAGAATTGAGGAAAAACATGAAAAATCGAACAAGAAAACTTCATGAATCATATTATTCAATAAAGGAAACAAAATCATAGTATAAAATTTAACACTCTGTTTAATGAACAAAATTCAGGTATCACAATGATATAACTATTGATTCATTCCAAAACAATATCTAAAAATATAAATATCAGTGGAGCAGGAATAGCTCAAGTTGTTACAGGAGATCATGGCTATGGTGTAAGGCTGAGGTGTGAGGGACAAAGGTAGAATTTCTGTACCTGGTTACAGAAATTACCTTTTAGAACTTCCTAGAAATAAAAAAACCTTGGTAAGAGTACTACAGAATGGCTTTGTGATGCCCTGGGCATTTAAATATACTAATTTCGCAGTATCACAGCCCCATACTATCCCAAACTGAATTTTTAACAAAATGTAGAGTGGGATTCAAACATTCACAATGGATCTGTACAATTACGTTTACATTTAAATATGTGGATATAATATGATAAAAATGAAAATTAATATAGTAAAAAAGATAGTATAGAAAGACAAGGAAAATGTATAGCTCTGTGATTGTTTTTTTTATTGCACTGATAAGAATATCATAGACAGTTTGCTTATATCTTTCCATGTCTTTTTTCCAAAGCTGTGAAACCTCTTGAAGAATTACTTCACTCCCCTTAACCCAAATACTCTATAGATTTAGAAACTTTTGAAGACTCAAATCATGGTTATAAACTGCCTATTCATTCCATTGCTTCTTTTTCTGAGCAGAATCCCATTTCTTTGCTTTCACCTGACTGGTCTTTTTGTTCCCATCTAAAAAATCTTTGAAAAGACTTACATCAACAAACCTACTTACCACTGTTTTCTTCTGGTTGTTTTATACTTTTAGATCTATATTTAAATATTTAATGTTTTAGTTGATATTTATAAAGTGTAATATAAGGATGTGACTTCATTCTTCTTCATGTTGGAATCCAGTTGCTTTTTTTTTCCCCACCACCATTTATTGAATAGACTTTCTTTCCCTGTTGTGTACTCTTGGAATCTATTGTGAAGAACAGTTAACAATTAACAATATGTGTGATTCACTTCTGGGCTTTCTTTCCTGTCTTTTTTTCTATGTATCTGTTTTGATCCTAGTGATACATTATTTAAATTACTAGAGCTTTGAAGTCAGGTAGTAGCATCACTCTAACTTTGTTTTATGTTTGTTTGTTTTTGCTCAATACTTTGCTGTATATCTTTACTGATTCCACATAAAATTTTATTACTCCCAAATTATCACTGAAATTTTATATAAGAATTGCATTCAATTAGAAGATAACTTTGGGTAGTACAGAATTTTAACAGTATTTTATCTTAATCTGTGATCATAGGATATCTTTATATTTATTTTTATCCTTTCAATTTATGTTATCAATGTTTATACTGTTCAATATATTTATAAATTCCTTAATAAATTTATTTTAAGCACAATTTTTATGTTACTTTAATTGTGACATTTTCTTGCTTTCCTTTAGGAATCTATTGTTAGTGTATAGAAATGTTACTGACTTTATTAGTTAGAATAATTTTTGTTACAATCCTTCTGATATATATATATATATATATATGTTTATATATATGACTATTTCATCTGCAAACTCAGATAATTAAACTTCCTCCCTATTTTATGATTATAAAAAATAATCACAAATACCTTAGTTGTGAACATCAAAATTTGACCTGCCATTTTTTCTAGCATCATTTTAAGATTTTCTGTTCTTTCTGTAAGAATTTCTAAATCTTTTACTGTTAGATCTGGTACAAGAAAAGGATGTCCTCTATCACCACTCCTATTCAATATAGTTCTGGAATCATTAGCAACAGCCATTAGATAAGAGAAAGAAATAAAAGGAATAGGAATGGGTAAAGAAGACCTTAAATTATCATTATTTGCAGATGACATGATACTTTACTTTGAAGACCCAAAAAACTCCACCAAGAAGCTACTAGAATTAATACAGAAATTCAGTATCATAGCAGGTTATAAAATCAATACCCAAAATTCAGTAGCATTCCTCTACCCAGATGACAAACACACTGAAAGGAAAATTATAGAAACAATATCTTTTACAATAGCACCAAGGAAAATGAAATACCTTGGAATTAACCTAACAAAAAAAGTCAAAGGACTTTTCAAGGAAAATTACAGTACTCTTAAAAAAGAGATCATAGAGGATTTCAGAAAATGGAAAGATATTCCATGCTCCTGGATAGGAATAACCAACATTGTGAAGATGGCCATCCTCCCAAAATTGCTGTACAGATTTAATGCAATCCCTATCAGACCACGACCAACATACCTCACAGAGCTAGAGAAGTCATTCCTAAAATTTATTTGGAACCATAAAAGACCTAGAAT